CTATTAACCTTCTTTGTTTAGTCTTGCGCCATGATTATTCACTGAACAAATCAATGATACATGCCCAAATCTCCAACAATAATATGATGTGCATATGTGTACCTAATGCCCAATTATGTACATCTATGTACCAAATACATTTGAAAGATGAATTCACACCAATATCCATGGGATACATTAGCCAAAATTTCTATAACCACAGTACTATACACATTCAAAAAAACATTGTTTGGACTTTTTAAAGGTACAGGAAGGGCTTCTCCGGGTGACTGTCTGTTTCTCCTTCCCAGTTGATTCCCAGATATTATTACATATATATTATTTATCAATAAAAATAGAAGAAAATATTTATGACAAATGTTGAGTATTTTACAGAAAAAAAAATCAGTCTTAAAACGCTGTCCAGGGTCTAACATGAAGATGACCTAGTATTGGTCTAACGTACCTACACCAACCACCTTTTGTCCATTTTTTGTCTCTTTTTATTCCTTTAACTGTACCTGTTGCTAGTTGGCAAAAACTACATGTGTCAATTTTACTACAGTGACATTTGCATCATTTTCCACAGTAGAAAATTTGGACTTTGTTGTGGTAGTTTCTCATTTTGCTGTTGAATCATTTAGATTGTAAAAACTTCAAAGGTAAAAGTTTAAAAAAAAATGTATGTGAAATAAATGAAGATGTATTTGTACAAAACGTCAGGTGTAAATGTTTTTATGTAAAGCAAATACTCTTCAAATCTATTGATAAGGTCATTGTTTATTTTATTTTTTGTTTTGTTTTTTTTTTGGATAAAAAATTGTTGTTACATAGTCTCATTTACTTAAAACTGGTGTGGGTGTCAACTGTTGCAGAAAAAATAAAAATATTTGAGACTAATGTATTTATAAACATTAAAAATATATTATGTACATCAAGTTTATTATGCATAGGATCCATTCTCTTGGAAATCCTTACGTAAAAGAAAATAGTAGGATCCTTCATTTTCAATAATATCCAACATCATCTACATCGACACAAAATAAATTAGTACAGGACAAGAGGGACTTAGAGGTGACATGGAATTTGAAGATATATTTTTAAATACAAGCTAACTTAAGTTATGACAACGTGCAGTGAGTGTCACTGGGTTTCCATCCAAGGACTCATGACTCCTGGCATCACAAACATCCAAAAGTGCATCATTCTGATGACATCGGCAATGTTTACCTTTCACTCACAGTCATTATATACAGTATATGTATGACACCTAAGTTACATCATTGTGAGTCAAAACAGCTCATCGTTCAAAACTGATTCTACAAATATTTGTTGTTTAGATTAGGATTGAAGAATTGGTTTAATTTTGCATCTGGAATTAAAGCTACATTTGGTTAAAAAAAACAATTTAATAATACAAAAAAGGAGAGATACAAATTACGCTCTACATTTACTTTACTCTCTAGTTTGCTTTTACCCTCTTTCTGTCGCCAGAATGTATTTCCTATGCCGTTCCTTATTTGTAACGTCTCATTAGAAATACATTTCTGCTTTCTTCTCTCAGTCTACTCACTGAGCTGTATTCGAATAATCATTGTTCAATACAGCTTTCCCGAAAGTATGGAAAAGAAACAGTGTTAACCATGTGGACCAGTTACTGTATGTCCACACCAGTAATATTCGTTGAGGTGGAAAATGTTTTCCTAGCTAACCCTACGAATGCAGGTTTGCGTTCCGACACAAATGAGGCTTCTAAAGTAGAGCCTTTCTTTCTTCTCCTTTAATGAGGCATGTCAGTGAGACATCCATATGCATCAGATTCATATGTTCAAGCTTCCTACATAATCCTCAAAGAAATGCTCTGTCCACCACATACGGCACTGTTGGCATGATGCATACCATAAACGTCTGTTTTACAATGGTCAGAAATATTTATAGAGATAAAAGCTGCACATGCAAATTATTCAAACTTTAACATGTTTCCACAGTAAACCAGACTCAATATGACTCCTATGACAGCCTGCTAGCTGTGACGGACTCAAATTGTCATTTTTTGCAGACATTTTTATAGTTCTCTATAACAAGGGGACCACAGAGGAGGATTTCTGTAATGTTTTAGCTTTTCTTTCACACACTTGCTGAAACCTTAACCTTTTATAGTTGAAAAATGGATCAGTATTCAAAGAGGAGTCCATTTAAATATCTGGGTTTACGTCTCCTGGATACTAATTGGGTGAAAACTTTAAAGAAAAAAAAAGAAACATCAGTTTGAACAACTCAACTGCTTAATATTTATCTGCATGTAATGACACACAGAGAGCCAGGGAGATCCACTGGCATGAAGGCTGACATTAAACTCAGGTGTCCTCCATTTCTCTTGATCATCTCTGCAGTGTCTCTGTGCCTTGATTGGAGAAGCTGCATCTGTGGCAAATCTAACTGATTAGGCCTAATTTGAAAAGACACACACCTGCAGCTGAGTCTCATTGCTGACAGCCTAAATCAGAGCAGCAAGGAAGTGCTTTTTTTTTTTTTCCACAGATGCTGTGACTGTGTTTCCCAGTCTTTTTTTTTTTTTTTTTTTTTACCTGGGTGATTATTAAAGAAGTTTGTTTAATTAGGAATGTGTGTTAAATAGTCACAGGGCTGCTCCACAAGAATGAACTGATCTGACAGGACTAAGGTTCACCTTCTCTAATATCCTGGGTTTTGGAGTGTTGACAGAATCCCATCAACACTTGGCTGAGAGGTCACCAATCGTGATTTGGAATGAGCTGCCAAGGATCAAGGATGTGGAGACGTTGATGTCAGCAACATGTTGGTTCAATTTCTTTCTTTTCAACCAGTATTAAACTGTATTGTCAACAGTTTGGAGCAAACATAATTACTGCATGATACAATTATTAAAAAAAATGTGCCTTGGTATTGACATTATAGTTATTATAGTATTTCAAAGTCACTCCAAAAACTACTAAAAATAAGGCAAAATTACTAACTAATTTTGGTAGTCTTTTGGTAATCTGTATTTAAGTTTTGACCTTTTTGCTAGTAACAGATATAAACCGATACTCCACCGTGTACTCCACAATAACCATTGTCCTAATCTTCAAGCTTTTGGTAAATGTGTGAAACTAATGTGTGGCCAGGAAAAGTGGGGAAAACATTTTTCAGCAAATTCCTTATAGTTTCAGGATGACACACTCACCTCTCTGATAGATTTCCAGGCCCCAAAGCTCTGGAGACCATGCAACACATTAAAAAATCATATGAAAGGCCTGCAACTGTAGTGAGAGGAAAGAGAGCAGGGGAATGGGAGAATGGAGCTGGCTGTGGTTGAAGTATGGGGCAGATGTTAGCCGGCAGGTTTTGGCTGTATGTGCTTTCATTAAGTTTAGCTTTCATACACTCCCCAATGACCAGCCTGTGCTGCCAAATGAGTTCCCGTGTGGGCCGACTCAGTTCCAGACCAATGTCCAAATGTGGCTGGCTGCAAACGATAGAGAGAGAGAGAGAGAGAGAGAGAGATACTCTCCGCTTGTGTGTGTTGTTGGCCAGCGTCTTACACACTCAAACATTCCCTAACATGAAATGAAACGCACAATGATGAATTTCCTCAACAAGCATCAATTACACTGAATCACTCGTGTGCCAGATTTGTCTCTGGCCACAAACCAATGTAGATTTATGGGTTGACGGGGAACATTATCCTTTGCATTTGAGGAAAAAAAAAAAGAATCTCTCCCGCACAACAAGGTGTAGTGAAACACGAATTGTCAAGTTTTCTTATTTGGCATATTAAATACATGTGATTACTCTGTGTTTATTGAGCCTAGTGCTAAATTAAACAGAGTTTAAGTAAATAATTTTATTAGTGCAAACGTGGTGGAGTTATTTTGTACATTGAGGCAGATGGGTAGAAAGATACATCACCTGCTTTCTGAAATGAGTGTGAAAATGTACTCCTGCGTAAAATAAATTAGTTATTTTTTTTCCCAAGTGTTAACTTTAATATTTATAGTAGTTAAAGTATACATTTTATATAACATCAGATATAAACATGGTATTTTTTGATCTAATAGAACTTTTTAAGTTTGGATACCATTATAAGTAATGAGTTAAAAAACAACTCCATTACCTAAAATGTGATGAAAATGTGAAAAACAAAGCTCAAATAAATAAATGAGTGGCCAGTGAAACTGTTTTTGTTTTTATTATTTCACCTCTAAAATAAGAGGTAATATTAATTGAAGACATCACATTTTAGGTAATAAAAAAAATACCATGTTTATATCTGATGTTATATAAAATGTATACTTTAACTACTATAAATATTAAAGTTAACACACAAATAACTGTTTCGCTGGCCACTCATTTATTTATTTGAGCGTAAACAAATGTTTTAATTGATGGCTCCCCCAAAACTGCTACAATAAAAACCAAAAAAAAAAAAACGAAGTGTGCACTGCCACTGAATGTGCATGGCCTTAAAGTATTTGAGATGCAGAATGTGATCACCACATATTTTAAACCATAACAAGACAATCTAACAAAGGTGACCACATCCAAATTCAACAACACCATTATTATTATTTTTTTCTTTCATTTCATTGTTATCTAACCAGCTCTATCCGTATCACTAGTCATTAGTCAGTGTTGGCTACAGTATGTCATGCTGTCAAGAGCGTTGCCTTTAATCTGTTTAATTTGTAACCTGTTCTGGCAACTACAGCTGTTTGGTTTCACAATTGTTGGTTTTCAATGCGGACGTAGATTCCATGGATGCTATGCTGCAGCTACAGCTGCAGTGTAGTCAGTGTAGTGTGCAGTGTATGAGTTGAGAGAGAGACCTCTGCCCCTGATGATGGCTAGACGCCATCCACCCCAGTCCTCAGTGTGCTCCTGCCAGGTGTTGGGATCAATACCCAGGCTTCAGAAATGCACTCTTTAAGCTTCAAGGACAGATGGCTGTTTAAACGGCATGATTGTAGAAAAGCTGAAATGCCAGTCCTCCTGTGGACGTCTTGGGTGATGCCGTACTCGCAACTCGCTCTCTGGGGTTATGCTGTTATTGTGTTGATGCTTGGCAAGTCAAGGCTGTGCCATTTTCTATTAGCTGGAAAAGTTGACAACAGCAAGGGAATCACTTCCTCTGTAAAAGTTTGAGGCATGCACCATGTCAGGAGTCAGAGTCGGTTGTTTCCTGGAACATGTTCCAAAGATGACGGAGGCAGCACCAGCGATGCAGTCCTTCAACCTTGACCATGCTCTACTGGCTGACGGTGGTATTCTTTAGAGATGGCTTTACGTAGCAGCGCACAAATGCAGGGTCAGTGTTGCAGTCTGCCAAGTACATGCTGCTATATTTTGTGAACGCCACTCAGAAGATCTCAGCAGCGTGAGATCATCACCTGCAAGACAGGCTTGAAATCCTGCATGTAGGTTGAGACCAAAGTCTCCCTTGACATCTGGGTAGGCTGCAGTGGTAGAGGTGTAGGCAGAAAACAAGCACAGGTTGCTGGTGGAATGAGTCACAAAGGGATAAAAGTGTGTTACGCACTGCAAATCCAACACCATGTCACTAGGCTGACGTTGATCAGGGTGACCCAAACATGTCTTTCTCATGCACAGTGATGTTTCATGCCTAATGCAGCAACGTCAACTTTAAGTCATGTTAGCTCAGTATCAAAGATGGTCAGTGCCTCAGTGATTGCCATAAAACAAGGAAAGATGTTGCAGTTGTCTGACTTCAACTCTGCAAACAAGCCAAGGCGTAAAAGGCAGCACCAGGATGATGACCAGGCAGTGCCTGCCTTACATATTTACCTTACGTATTTTATGTTATGGTCCACATGTTGTTTATGTTGTGTTCAGAAACTTGGATTAGTTTTTAGAAAATTGCTGGATAGTGGCAGCCCTAATTTACCAACCAACCAAATGTGGAAAGAACAGTCATTCTACTTCACTTCACTTTGCCTTTTTAAGTAGCTAAACAGAACGTCGATGTGACCCAGTGATAATTCCATCTTTGTTATTAGGATAAAATATTTATTACTAAGCAAGTTAGTTGTTAAGAAAGATAATTTACATCATCCGTTTAAGTACAAGTACATGTTGTGAAGAATTGGCAAAAAGAAAAAAAAAACACTCTCCAACTGTTTTATTAATGTAGTCAAGGTTACGTGAGCGTTCATCTACAGAGGTTTTCACATAAAGGTACAATAGAGATAATTGGTTTTGCACTGGTTTTATTAGTTCAGTCAGCGCAGCTATCTTACAGATCACACTTTGAATACCTTCACTGTGATTTAATTAGAAGAGATTTTTCAGTCCAAAACTCTCCAAGGAGACGGGGTAATTAAAATTGGACTTCAGAAAGTGCTTGTTCATGTTTCGTCATATCGCATAAGCTGGGTTTCACGAGTCTCCGGAAGAGAACACCAGACTATGTAAATTGAAATCAAAAAGAAAAATGGGGTCAAAGACAATTAATCTTCACTGGGCTTCTATTATTCTGTACAGAAGAAAGGGATATAGGAAAACCGTTTAAGAAAAACCTGTATAAACTCACTAAAGCAAACAGACACGGATGTCTGTCTTTTGTTAGCTCCAAAGACTCTGGATCAGTGGTTCTTAACCTTGGTGGGGTTCGGTGAGTCAGTTTTAGGGGTTGGCGGAGGACAAGACACACACCCGACTCGTGATTTGGGATGACACACCCCCCGCTTGGCCATCACTGAAGGGTTCGGGGAATGCGCATATGAAACTGGTGGGGTTCAGTACCTCCAACAAGGTTAAGAACAACTGTTCCAGATGAACCAGGAAACCTATTGGGAAATGGTTGTTTTAAATCTGAATTACAACCAAAGCCAAAAATGCAGCAAATATTCGACCACAAACAATTTAATACATTTTGGTGTATAAAAACATAAACAGAAATATAAATGAAACTATAGAACTATTTGTACATCTTTCTACCAATATGTATAGTGGTATTTTGACTATGACTTTTCATTGCAGTGCATCCCTACCAGAAAAAGAAGATTTATATGAGTAAGTGGGGGGAAAATGGTACAGAAATATGAACTTTTAGTCTGCGGTTTGGTCTTTGGTTTGCCGAGACATGCGGCCAATTCTGAGGGTGAATAAATAAGGTTATTCGATGTTGTCACAAAAAAAAAGTTGTCCTTGCTGTCCAAAGCTGTCCCTAATTTGGCACGATTTAGAAAAGCACACATTAAACCAGGGTGAGCCATTCATTTTCCCAACGGGCCACGTGGGAAATTCGAATAGTTTCCGAGGGTCCAAATAATTCACCTAATTTACTTGGTAATTTATATATATGCCCACTGGCCGTAAAACTAGCAGCAACTCGTGTATAACTGCAACATCTACAGAGTCATTTTAGTTCATATGCAAATTAGACGTGTGTAGCATTTACTGCATAGACACAGCAGTACTGTATAGTGCTAATGCAGCTGCTGGTTGAAATACTGCATGTTTTAAGAATGAATCATAAATTTAAGGGAAGACGCCATGACTTATCTTGCACATTCTAGCCCAACATCATTGATTCACTTGTTGATTCCCTACTTATGTCACAGCTGCAGTGCAGAAACATCACCTGGAAATAGTCTCTTTATCCTCCTTTCTCAAACACAAACAGCTGCTGGATTCAGATGCTAACAACAGAATAAGCTAAAGCGATAGAAAAAGATAATAATGTTTTTTTTTAAATGTTTGTTAACATCAGAACATTAGTTTTGTAGGAGTTATTTTTCTAAATACATTTCAGTAAGGATCTGACTGTTGGTATTTTC